CCGTGCCTGGTATCTTCCCGTGCCGGTACCGAAGGGGTCTGGCATGTTTCTGACATGTTCCGTGGTCGGTCCGCAGTCGGCAGCCATGGATAGGAAAGATGCCATGGATACGGTGTTGGGAGGTTCTGAGACGTTCCGAGGCTATTCGATGTTCTGCCGTGCGGTGACGTGGAGGTCGATTTCCGCTCGATTTCCGCCGTCCGTAAGTGGACAAACGTGGGTACAATTTGGACAAACGTGGATCAAAATACAGACACAAGTGGGTACATGAAAAAATTAGTTGACGCCGGTGGGTATACCCACCGCGATGTCGGACATAAGTGGGCACTCTGGTGAGGACTTGCGCGCGTCGGCGGTATTAGGGCCAAAGGTGTGCCTAGAAGTGGGAAAAAAACGATGCCCGTGCTGTGTATGGTCCCTGGCTGTGTCGCCCAGGTGTCAGAATGGGGTTTTGAGTCGTTTGGGGGTCGCCTATGAAGTGCGCACGCGCTGGATTTTCGAGTACCCACTTTTGTCCGAGAAAGGGGTGGGTATACCCACTTGTGTCTATTTCCCTTTTTCAAATCAATTGTTGAATTTCACGGACAGTAGGTGTTTCCCGCCGTTTTTTTGAATTTGCAAAACGTATTTGATCCTTTGGGGTAACGTATCAGTGATGTTTACAGCAGTAGATGAGAATGGTACACCTGGTGCATGGTAGGTAGGCCATAGCAGTCAGTTTGTATCATGTTAGCTTGTTTCTTGCTATGTTTGGTGTTGGAAAACAAACACCATCAGTAGAGCACGGAAAGTTTTCAAATGATTTACATCCAATGTGTGTGTGGCGGTTGTTGTCAACTTCCCTGGTGTTCCTCAGAGCGGTTTGTCGAGATATCTTGTCGCAACCATGTCGTAATCACGTTGTAGAGCATCCGTCATGAAGGTCAGCAGCAGCAGCGAGTAGCAGTTGGTCTCTCCGTGTGGAGCAGTGGTGTGGACATGTTACGGAGTACGGCGAAGGATACAACACGTAGAAATTACCCACCTGGACGCACAACGATCAGCAGCGAAGACGATGTGTGTCAGCCACGAGGTCAATATGGGAGAGCACCTTAGCACGAAACCCGATACAGCCTTCTCGCCTTGCCTCAAGTCCTATCGGAGGGGCTATGTATGTGGTACCACGGCAGGGATCCGAATGCCGACTGCTCCGAACACAATGAATGTTGTGTATGTATGTGTATGTTACGGTGGGAAGGTGGAGAGGGAAGAGGTTGGGTAGTTGGTTCATCGGGTGTGTGAATTTTGTCTGTCTGCCTGTCCTCCCTCTGTCTGTTTCTCCAATATCAACGTTTAATCAGCGAAAGAGACGGAGACAGCATCGGGGCGCACCAGCGAAGATATGCACTGACTGTCTGACTGTACACCAACAATGACGTGAAATGCGGCGCAAAAGGTAATTTTAAAATCCAACGGCGAGGGCCATTGGCTGTGAAGGATGCGGCGGAATAAACACACCGCAGAAACCATGACGCAGCAAAGTTTCAACGCGCCAACTCAGACCCTTTTCTGCTTCGGCGCGAACACTGGTCATCCCCACCCGCCCACCCAAGTCACAACCTTCACCTTTCCCTCTCTCATCTTCCACACATCCTACCCAATAAGCAAGATGGTCGCCTCCCAGATGTTCCTCGGCACTGCCGCTGCCCTCATCGCCTCCTCGACTGCCTTCGTCGCACCCGTGGCCGTGCGATCTGCGGCACCAGCGTCCGCTGCTTCGGCCCTCAAGATGAGCGCTGGGTCCGACTACGTCGCAACCCTGCCAGGGGCTCCCTTCTCGGATGGAAAGGTGAAACATAACCAGCCATGTGCGACGAAATCGCCACATGAGTGTCTGATCTGCATCGAGATGTGGAAGGTCGTGCGCCGTGTCATTTTTTTTACCCTTGGAGCTCGGTTTCAAACGGTGTCCGCAGAAGAGAAATCGGCGACATGCCCAGCTTTGGGTTTGGATAGTGTGGCGTGGCTTTGGACGCGGTGCCGGTACTATTTACGGCTCTGCTCTCCGCCTGGGGTCCGGATCTGCTGTACATGTTGCACACAGTCTGCATCTGACTCAAGAAAATGATGAACTCGCACTGCCTGTGATGTAGTCTACGAAGTACGCAGTACGCACGAGTACGTGTTCTGTTTCTGCCTCCGTTGACTGTATCTACGGCTACCTTCGGTACCCAGCCCCTTTGTTTACGTCTACTGATTTCCATGAGAATAGTTCTTTGCTGGTGTCGGGGAGGCGTGTAATCCGCTCTGACTGAGTACCTTCACACCTGACATATGGGTATTTCCATGTTTGTTTCTGACTGTTTCACCCGCTCGCAACGCGTCCTGCCGTTGTTGTTTTTTGTTTCAAGATTTTCGACCCTCTCAGCTTGTCGGATGGCGCTGCCCCCGGCGACATCAAGAAGTGGCGCGAGGCCGAGATCAAGCACGGGCGCGTGGCCATGCTTGCGTCCCTCGGGATTCTTGTCGCAGAGGTAAGCTCCCATTCGAAGTAGTCTTAAGAGCGGAAGGGATGTGTGGTGTTGAGAACCGAAGTGTGATGGGTTGTGCGAGCTTGTACCCTTTGAATGCCGTTTACCCTTCTTGGATACTACTGTGGTTTCAAGTGAGAATGAGCGTGGACATTGTGGAGGTGATAGCTTGTGAATTTGAGGCTCGACAGCGAGAAATTCGACTCTTGCCTTGTCTCGTGCTTTCTCAAGACTCGCTGAAAAATCTCGCGTAGAATACGACCACTCACTTGTGTGGTAGGGACGCAGTATATACGTGCTTTCCATCGTGTCGATGCAGTCTGTTTTTCGTTTTCCAGTCAAGCAAATCGAGGTATGCTGGTTCAACCGACAGTTGAAAAGTGCGTTTTTCTCCTTCCTGCAGAATCATGTACTGCTATATTTACCTGGTACACTTTAGTGACGAGATCATCCACCCGTTGACTAGGCATGTGACAAAATATGTGCTTACCCCTCCCGCTTGCGTCGACGCCCCGTGCCGTCCGCAGGAGTACCACCCTCTGTTCATGGGTAAAGATTTCATCGGCCCGGCCATCATCCACTTTCAGGAGATCTCTGCGCAGTTCCCCGAGGTATGAGAACGTTTGATGTCTACAAGAACTTAACGTTCTCTCGTGTCACATCACAGTGCCGCAGAGCGATCAGCACGTACGGCATTACATAGGTGGTGCGTTTTCGGTGCAATGCCGCCATCTACGGCTCCCGTGCCGTTGTTCCCACTGCACCATGCAGTACACCCGAACATCCCTTTTCGCCTCTCTGTTCCTCACTTCCCCTCACCCATATTACCTCATGTCTCCCAAACCTCAGTTCTGGGCGTTCTCCCTCCTGGGCATGGCCTTCATCGAGTACAACACCATCATGACCGCCTTCGACACCCCTAGCGCTGTCACCGGCGAGGGCGGCCTGAAGGAGGACTATATCCCGGGAGACCTCGGCTTCGACCCCCTCAACCTCAAGCCCGACGGTGAGGCGGCTCTGGACGTGATGAAGACCAAGGAGCTCAACAACGGCCGTTTGGCCATGATCGGCATCGCCGGCATGTTGGCGCAGGAGCTGGTCAACGGGCAGGACATCCTCCCCAACTTTTTCTTCTAAATGCGTGGGCCTCATAGATTTCCTGCAGACGTTTTCGTGCGTGAATGTTTTTGGGCGGCTGCCTTTGAATGGAGTTTCTGCTTTGATTCGCGCAGAAGCACCGTAGTTTACCTCCGACGGTGATAAACAAATGCGTGTAAGAAACTGGTGGTCCTTTTAGGCTAGAGGAGATCTTTGGCAAAACAATATGTTTTCGTTCCACGCCGGCTAGCGGTTCTTTCCCAGGGTCAGTTGTGTGGGCAGTTGGTCAAGGTTTCCTCTGAGGAAGGCGAGCACGCTACAAGCACTTGCGGAGTGTTTTGTACAGTTTGAGTTTTGTTATATATTGCAAGTGATTCGCTCTTGTTGTGTCGCCTGTGTGACATCACCACAGGAGGGTGGTTGGCGTTAAATACTCCCACACGGAGGCACCATGAGATTCGCGTGCTACGTTTTCAAGGTGCACATGATGATTTTTTTAATGAAATTTTGGTGTTCAAATTCAACACCATTCAAATCGAAGTGTGGGTGTGGTGCAGTATATCTGGTGGACAGGTGCGGTGTCTTTCAGTCCAGCGGTGTAGTCTACCGTAGGAACGTGGTGATGCACTGCAGTATGTCAGCGAACCCGCACGGTTTGTTGGAGATTGCGAATTCCCGTTTTGTCTTTGATTCAATGTTTGGGCAACCGTCACCCACCGCTATTTGGCACTGGGTATTGTAATGGTGTTTTCTGTATGCCCGTTTCTATAAGTGCACACCCTCGGATAGAGAAAGAACGACTTGTCGCAGGCATCTCAGCTCAAGGCGCTCAACGATTGGACCTCTTTCACAACCACTAATATTATTTTAGACAGATCGCTAGGGTGCTTCCCATGGCACTTCTCGCGCGCTCTTGACGACCTAAAACGCAGAGATATAGGCCCCGGTGCCGCTGCACGAAATAGTCCTTCGCGTTTCATACGCTCAAAATCGGAGGAACATCAATGTGCAATCCCCGGGAACGCGAAAATCCGATTGGACATAACAAGTCCTGTGTGGCCTTCCTCCTGTGTGACACCGACTGGTGCGTCCGGACTCGTACTGCAAGGTACAAGGACTGATCTCGATTTCCAGAATCGATGGGGATGACACCAAGAATACCGACCAATAAAAGGTGTGGCACCGCCGTCGCTATGAAAAAATTCAGGTGCAAACACCTTTGAAAGAATGTGGGAAAAACAATGTAACCGAGGATGGTGTGATGCATGCAACCTCGCGCGTAACATCGATGTACAGTAGATTAATGTAGATGAAAGTAGGTGTGACATTCACTCTGAATGACAAGGTGCCCCCACAAACGGACGGCTAGACCCTCAATAATATGCGTAGACGTGGGGATGATAGGCAAGGAAGGGTGGTGTTGACTTATGAGGGAAGAATCCGCCTGGAGGATCATCTTCATCTCCGGACAGGGCGAGAACGGACAGCTGTACCCGGCGAAAGTGCCATTTGTATAATAGTGGTGTCAAAGCTCCCTCCCACCCTGTGTTGTGTGTGTGTTTGTCCTATGTATTATGGCCACAGCAGTCCCCCATTTTTCGTGGTGAGACATGTACTACACTTTACAGTGTATTTTTCCGTACAACTACAACCATCCAGGGTCACACGGGAGGGGGTAAACACCAGGGCTTTTTTCTTCTCTTCATGGTATTATTTTCGCGCCCCACCTTGCTCCTGCGATGCGTGCTGAATTATATTTCTATCGCGAGAAGAGTCCAGCCGTCCCTCTCCCTCATCAACGGTGCTAACGTCGAAGTTTGGTACTCACGAGAGCTTTTCCAGCTATTTTTCGCTTTTATCCACAAGTTTTGTAAATTTATCACCCGATGGGGATTCGAACTCGCGACCTTTCTCTGCGACTAGCGACTTCGATGTTACCACTAGACCACCGGGCGACCGGTACCCTGCGCAACGAAACTCAAACCCAATGCTCTTCGTACGCAGTGTACCACAGAAACAAAACTGCGCACCCTTCTCTCAACAAACGGATGCAGCGAGGCGCAAATAAACGGTAACAAGTCGCGCAACAAGAGGACCTGACCAAGTATGACTGCCGTGGTACACAGCCCACATCAAGCCGACAAAATTGTTGCAAATCAACGCAAGATTTGCAAGCCAAGCCAAGTCAGGTTCGCAACTCAACGCAGGTGTCGCAAGTCATCACGAAAGTGTTGGGAGTAAAACGTTCACACCGCAGCATCCTACACCCTACATTCCTACTTCCTCGGGCGTCTTCGTGTCTAGGGTAACCGCGTGTACTATTTTCATTTCGTCGGCCATGAGGCCGTACACGGATCGGTGCCGCTTCAACAGCGTCAGGCCCTCGAAGGATTTGCTGACGATGTTAATCATGAACTTGGACTCTTCCCCGCCTGACTCGTCCTCGATGACCAGCTTCAACGGCTCCAGCTTTTGCAGCCTAGGAATAAGACAGGCCGTAGACAAGCGAATATAGCAGGTCAGACGGGATAAAGTGATGCGATGGACAACAGTAAAGGGGGGGGGGGTCGGCGTACTCTTATGTTTTGCATGCCTTAGCGGTTAGACCATTGACCACGAGTCCTCGAGAGGACGGAGCATTGTTCTCACAGGACCGATCACCGATGGTCAACCGTTCAACCTACTTTGCCGAAGGTCGCTCATAAATGTTTTCCCTAGCCTATCGATCCTATCGACATCACTTCTCCCCCTCTCAACCCACTTCCTATGTCCTAGTACAGCTACCGTCTTCTCCTGGCTGTTCCATGCCATAAACATCTTCCTCTACCTTCCTTCTACTGTTCCCAGCTCAGGCATGTACACTTCCCTCCCCTTGTACAACGGATATTCCATAATTACATGAACACGGTCTTCGCACTCGGAGCCGCATTCACATTTGAACTTGTCGTCTTCAGGTCTACCTTCCTAAATCTTCGTCTACGTTCTCGAAGGCCAATGTACCTGGTCCTGATTTTGACCTCCCGCTTTGCCCCTGCATCCATTGGTCCATGTAGGTAGTCCTTGAACCGTATTCCTTCTTTAACATGCCGTACACTTCTAGACCGTCCTTATCCTTGGTTTCTTTGGTTTTATATTATGTTCTTCTCTCTCGGCAAAAGCGACAGATATCTTCTCCTTGAACACCCTTGGACCCTCCGTTTCCGGCGTGTCACCTTCGTCAGTTTCGAACCCCTTCCATTCGTCATCTACAACCTTGAACCATTCCGTGGGTTGTCTACCCCTCTTGTTTGACCACTTCGCTCCCAAGCTATTCTCGGCAACCTCTCCTCTCCCATACCGCACATGCGGTACAGCAGTACTGCCACGTTAGCTTCCTTGCGTCTTTTCCCGATCGTAGGGATTTGGATCCACAATTCTGCCCTGAGGGCTGCATTGCTTGTGCGCTGGGACCATCCTAAGGATGGTTTTCGCTGCTTTCATCTGCGCCGCCTCGAGCTCGTTGGCTACCTTCATATTTCCTCCCATACTTCTCCGGCGTACTCTAGCGGCGGTACGATAACGCTCTTCAAAACTGTCTACTTGATGCGTATATCGAGGTGCCGGTTTGCGAGCATTGGGTGCAGCTTTCCTGCTCGTGCTTTGCCCCTTTCCGCTACCTTGGACACGTATGCATTCCACAAACAGTCTATTGCGATCTCTACCCCAAGATATGTGTACTGATCCATTACCGCAAGCTCATCGCCCTACACGTCCATCTATACTCTACCGGTTCCTCCCTGTCCTCGTTGCATACCATGACGGCACTCTTCTAACGTTGGCAGACAATCTTCACCTATATCAGCAAAACCCTTCGCTGCGTCAATCTGCAGTTGAAGTCCCTCAGGGTATTCAGACATCCCAAAAAAACAACCGCAAACAGCATTCCCGACACCCAAGATTCCCCTGCCTTTACTCCCTTCCCAACTGTCTCTACGAGCTACAACAGATCCTATATGAACACCTCGAACAATGTTGGGGACAAAATGCAACCTTGTGGGAACCCCTGTTCAATGTTGAAGAACTTCATTTCTCCGTCAAGCATGACAGCGCGTTTCGTACACTCTTGTCATTTTCTTCAGCACTCTCCACATTTTCCCCTTTATCCTGTCCTTTGACAACTGCTCCCACAGCCCATTTCTCCACACCGTATAGTATGCCTTTTGGGGATGGTATTTTTTTGTGGTGGCATTTCCGCACGAAAAAATACCGTTCAGAATTTGACGGAAAGGAACTTGAACCAGAACCCGCAAATACTAACAGTTGACCAAAAGGGTCCCCAGCCCGTTTTCTTACCAATATCTGCAACACCTGTCACCGTAGCAAATTACACCAAAACAAGGTCCTATGAGCGATGGTGATTACCACGGGATGAAAGCCAACCTGAGGACGAGAGTAACGGTAAGCCTGGGGTTCACCGTCTCTGTCCCGGCAACAGACACACGACGCGAATCCTCCAATACATCGTCCGATAAACATTGCGCTTTTTCGTCTGTCCCGGAAACGTAACCAGTGGTGACGTTCACGGCATGCTAAGCCAACTACGGATTGATTGCTCCGCTCTCTCACTTTTCGGTTATCCGTGATGCCATCGTCCCGCTTTGCTCCGGCTCCTCCGCTGCCGCTTCTTCCGCCGCCGGGGCTGCTTGCTCCACAGCCGCGCGGATGGCCGACTCGCCGCCCAACGCTAGCGCCTTCCCCTTCATCGTCCGTAGCATGTTGATGAACCCGTTGTTTCGCCTGCGTGCAGTAGCGGCGATGCAAAGTGCGTTTAGGTGCGTGCTCGGCAGGGTACTCAACGCAGAAGCACGCAGCACAAGCCGCCTAAACTTGGGGCCGGACCAAGCACATGTGTTCCATGCCCGACGTAAGTGTAACATGAATAGGGGCGCTATACAGGACGGGGTCATGTCGCAAACACTGTTAGTGTAGTCTGTGCCGACTCTCGTGTACTAGTAAACACATAAAACAGGATATTGTCGTTTGTGCCGACTTTCATGTCGGAAACACTGAATACTGGGTTTTGCAGTCTGCGCCGACTCTCTACAGGCGATCAAGTACCCTACGGAGATACGAGTTATCTTCCTCCATACATCGCCTCCGCGAACCCACAAAACCATACACCAGCCGCATCAAGATGCCGACGTGATGTGCGCTCCAGCAGGTAAAAAAATTACGACGACAAGAGCGGCTGACAACACTTTCATACGGAAGCGGCCGATCGCAAAATGAAATGCAACACCAGTAGGGGCTTGGCGGATGTCACGGTGTCTAGAAGCCCACGTTGATTGGTGCGCTCTGCAATACTATGGACATTTGGAGCCTCCATCGCGCCTCGCCCTTTTTGGTGCGGTCAAAGCAGATATCGCACCCATCGAGCACCTTGAAAATAGAAGTAGTAGCCTTTAAAGGCGTCTTTCTACAGCTCCAATAAACCATAACAGGGCATCAACGACCAGGACAATCGTTTTGGATGATAGGACAAGCGCGGCGTACATACCCGGCAGTGAGGCTGGCCTGAAGGCCGGCCACTTGGATGAACTCTGGCTTGACGGTCTGGATGGCCTCCGGCGAGTTGCCGGAAAGGCCCATCGCGAGAAGGCCTGCCAACCCCTTGGTGATCATCGCGTCCGAGTCCGTGGAGTAGTAGATTAGGCCATCCTTCACCTCCGCCGCAACGTACACGGTCGAGAGGCACCTGGAACAACGAAGTTGACGAGATCAAGGCCGTTGCCAAAGCCAAGCGAACGGCGATAAGAGACGCGTTGCTCAACTACACTCACTATCGCTCGGATTTCCACGATGTTCGCCACAGCACTACTCCCCAAGCTTCGTGTTTTGCGTTGGTTGCTGCTGCCATACACTACGCCCTTTGGGCAGGTGCAGGGTTCAATAGATGCAGATACGCCCTGTGATCCTTTGTTGTCGCAGCCAACGACGGATGTGCGAAGACCTCGCGTCGTTCGCCCTGTCGACACGTCACGTGTGTGTTGCAAGTCTTGGCAGCCCGGTACAGGCAGTGGTACAGCTTGCATTCGCCCACGTACTGGTTCCTGCTGTGAACGTTGGAGCTCTAACTAATGCCACCACATACAAGTCTCGCTACTGCTGACGAAAGCTTCAACACGCAAAAGCGTCCAGTCTACACGTCTAGACTACAGCAATAGTATAGACTTGCTGTGCCGAAAGGACCGCCGCTGGCGTCCGACTTCAACTCTTCGTCCAAGCAGTTTACCGCATCACATACCAGAATCCTACATCATGTGTTCATGTTTCGCTGGAGAACAGTTGCCACCTAGACCAAAGCCGTACCCACGTTGCTTCTAAAACATGTTTCCACGCCCTACAGGTAGTATACCTCACCCCAAGACCTTGTTCTCCTCTGTCTGGAGAGCCGGGTCCATCTTGTCGCCCATCTGCGCGAGGTGCAGGAGCTGCATCTGTCGCATCTTGTCCGTGGGACAAGACCTGAACACCTTCGTCAACCTTTCCAGCTCCGGGGTCAGCCCCAACTCCTTCAGGTCAGTGGATGTCGACATGAGAGGGGCATCGCGTCCGCTACGGGCTGGTTCAGCAGCACGAGCTGCTGGTCGTCTCAGGCGTGCGGCCTGTGCTGCTCTGTGAGACGAAAACGCCCCGCCTGGCACTACTGCGACGTTGGGCGTCACAAAGGCCTCGCCGACCGAGCACACGCTGGTCGTCAAGGCGACCGACAAAATTGCTGCTCGTGCAACCATTTTGGAGCAGAAACTGTAGGCGTGTGCTGGTATTGTAGCAGCGTTGTGGGCTGGGTTGCCGAGGAGGCAACACGTACCTGGTACGGCAGCACAGTGGAGGCATCGCAGATGGATATCGTAAGGCGGTACGGTTGTGTTGGCGGCGCCCCCGGCCAGTGTTTGCGCAAAAAGATTAAAGATTTCGTGTTCATGTGTCTCGCACTCTCTCTACTTACCTTCTTTGGCCTTGCCTCTCTGGCTGAAGACCTCTTCGTTGATATGTTTGTGTGAACTACTGTAGCCTGTCTTGTTGTGTCCAACGTCAATGCCGCTCGAAATGAATGGAATGGGATTGATTTTGGATCGTCCTACAGAGTACATGATTCATTGTGGAGGTCATCATCAGATCAGTCTCTACAACTCTGTCGGCGTATTTTTTGGATGCATGAGCCAGGGTAACTATGATTTTGTTTTGCTCTCTGCGTCCCTTCGGCAATGCTCGCCTTAGCTTTAATCCCAAATGTCAGAAGATTGCGAGGCCACCAACTGAACCATTTTGCCACCCTGGTTGTCGTCAATACGCCATTCGTCCCACCCGCAAAAATGCGGGTAGTTTTTCCTTCTGCCGTTGCGAGTAGTTGCTCTCTTGTTGATGATCATCTTCTCAAGCCTTCAGGGGGCTGAAAACAGAAACACAACATGCAGCCAACCTTCACTCGCTTCCGGGCGCCCCAGGGTTAAACTTTCTAGGCCGCCTAAGCGGTGACGAAGTTTAGGGGGTGTCTTGCTACATGCGACGTCAGAGAAGGAACAGCCTACAAGGAACAAGGAAGTCTAGAGCCCGCGTCGACAGAGCCATCTCCATCGTACTTGCGTGTTCGCCCTTCCAGCCAAAAGCCGACACAAAATAAAGAAGGTACTGTAATACACTGGGGTCAGCACGGAAGTATACAGCTTTTTGTGCGATCACCGATGATACACATGCGTGCCCTCAGAACGTACGTGTTGTCATTCGTTTGCACTTCGAAGTACACAATCAACACCGTAGGAAGCAGACGATGTGAGTTAGCACCACTCCAACGCGACTTAGTTGATGTCCATGTGGACAAGAAAACAGCTTCACCATCCTGTCGGAATTCATGCAAGCTGGGGAGAAGAAGCGTCGTGTTTCTCTCTTTCAACATGAGAAAAACAACACAACAACAAGTCAGTCGGCATCTAACGACCAAGATCAGACGTTGCTGGATCGTCGTGAAACAAACGCCCATCGACAACCACATACACACAACAACACATGTGCGCTTGCACAGCACTAACCGTGGTACATTGTGCTCGGCCCCTTCTGGACACGTTACTCAGGGAGACCGTAACATGCCGTACGTCGACATCTCACTTATTACAGTACAAACGTCTTAAGCGTACACAACAAATACATCGATCTCCTAGTCTTCGTCAAGGAAGACTCCCCCCCACTCTACTCCTCCTCCCTCGAAGTCGTTCCCGAACTGCTTCATGTACACCTGGAGTAAGGAGGCAACGCACGCACAGATGACAGGCGTTATCGTCAAGGGTCTAGCAAATCGGGTACCATAAGCTTGCCGGTGTAGAGAGCACCCCTCACACACTGTGAATGAAATGGACCGTTCGGTGAGAACATGATTACACAAAACTGGGGAGGGGGGGGGGGGGTTGGCGTGATTCACCGCAGCCTGGTCGTCGAGACTGAGCGCGCCAACCAACCACTGAGCTTACTCCTAGTTTCGACTGTAACCACAGTTCCCATTTCTTACCATGACCAAGCTGCCCAAAATCGGCCACACAGCGGATTCATGAACCCGCCGTACCAGAGCACCACACAACGTATATACGGCATGTGAGAAGCGTGATTATCTGAAAAATTTTTGACAGCTGGTGTTGTTTCAACCCAGATGACATCGTGAGGCGGGGGGTCTACATCGAAAAATCACCCCATTCGCATGCATGTAGGATTGCAGTGGCAAACTCACATCGTCTTCCTCCTGCAGCCGCACCACGAGGTCTGACTTGGGGTACGAGCAACACGTCAGCGCATATCCCTCCTGCTTAAGGTCCTTCAGCAGACCGAGCGCGCCCTCCTGCTTCACCTGATACACAGCGGCGGACGTCCAACAAAACAAAAAACACGAGGAAACAACCGTTCGCTAAATACGATTTGCCACGCGTAAGATTTATTGATATACATACACATGCAGTGCACTGTGCAGCTTACATGCAGTGCAGTGTGCAGCTTTCCTCGCGACAACCCACGAAGAGCGACAAGCTTCGTGCGGCTTCGAAGAGAACATCTCGGAGATCTCGGAGATTGTGGTGTTGCCATGGGTTGAGCTCGAGGCCATAAGAGTGATCGATCGGTCCATCGATCAGTCCTCCTGATTCGTATATCCTTTCGAAAAGACTAAAAAACAACAACGCTGGCATGATCGTCGAACATCACATGGCATGATGCAAGCTGGACATGCCACGGCGTTGGACTTTCAAAAATGGACGCAGAGGCGCTAGGCCAAACTGCCACTCGACAGGAATCCTGCGACATCGTTGGTGATACACACCTTTCCCTCCAACACCTTGACGGCGCACGTTGTGCAGCAGCCGTTTCTGCACATCCTCTTCTTGTTAATGATGGGGACGTCAACACCCGCGTCTTCCGTGGCGAAGTAGATGTAGCGGTCAACTGGCACGTCCGCCGATGCCACCTCTTCGCCGGCCTTGTTCACGTACGTCACCTTTCATTCGAAGCATCGTAAGCAGTGGTTGTTGTTGTTGCTGTTGCAATTGCCGTCTTCGCATCAAAACCGGCGGAATGCTGTGCATACAGGCCAGTAGGCTTTCTTGTCGTCTTCCGACGGAAATCATGTGTCGTTTTGCTTCACTTTCGAATCTCGCGGGGGCAATCTATACTTTGATTCGAAGCAGCATTTATTTCTGTTTTCGTCGGAAATTTCGCATTCCACAGCATATCTTCATGCAATATTTTGAGTCTACAGGCGCGTCCGGGAAATACCTAATTTGAACTACTCACAAGTCTTCGTGTAGTTTGAAGTCAAAAAGGATACAGTGCTGGTCTGTTCCGAGCAAGAGGGGGGTGCTCGATAGGAAGGATACACGTGACAAAAGCATAACATATCACACACCCTGGATCGATCTCCAAAGTCGAGTACTCCACAACGAAGAGGATGCAACATGTTGTTGTTGTTGTTGTTGTTGTTGTTGTTGTTGCAGCTGTTTTCTTCACATTAAAAACCGTTCCGCTCTCTACCCAGTTCCTTCTTCTCTGTCCGTACTATTTATAGTTCAACATTTAACGCGGTAGATTCCCGTGGTCACAGGCTAACTTACCCCCAAAAGGTATGCACCAATACAATGTAATGTGGAAGTATTACCACAAAACGATACGTTTTCGGAAAGATCTCGACGACGAGGTTCCAACGCCGCCATTTTCGGCACATTACTTAATTACTCTTTCTGATGTGGGGTGGGGGTACTGCTGCAGTCGAGCTTTGAAATCGGTTTACAGCATTGAGGCAAGTAGGGGGTGTGATACCTTATGTCACCTACGGTGATCTCTGTACGTAGTATCTGAACTAGTCTGAAGAGCAGTGTTGTGCCGACAGCTGTAGCTCTACGGACATGTTGCGGACTAACGGAAGAGTATTGCCGAGAGGCCACGTGCTACTATCTCGCATCTTGCGGGGTCCTACAGTACCCCTGGACCCCTTAGTTGTGTGGGTGAGGTGCAGTCGGCCGGGCATCACCTCTTTTTCTTTTTCTCTTGTCACAAGCCTTTCCCACTCCCTTCTCGGACAAGCAACAGCCGGCTACCAAACGTCGCACTCCGTGCACCACGGGCAGGGTGCACCTCGCACCGTACATCTTATACATACCGTTATCGGCGTTGTTGCATTGGGAACGAGAATGCATAGGTTTTCTGTACTGCTTGTACGATGATTCGTCGTGAGTAAGCCAGTCTCGTATTATATAGTCTCGTCCACAAGAACACCAAGTGCAAGATGCTCAAGTTGCGCTCGAGAGACGCGGCGCAAATGGGAACTGCAACCTGAAACATGTGTCAGCCGCGGTCGCCGCTCTATTTGTAGACAAGAAATGCACAACACCAAATAAGAACTGTTGTACACGAGTATGCAAGGCACAGGTAGATGTCGGACAGGCTCGGGTTGGAAACATGAACACTCTACGCGTGTTGCCCTGGGGACCGTACACACGATGATGCTGAGGAATCGCAAGATGCCTGCTGGCAGAGAGCAATTGCATTGGCTCCACATGCATGTACAATTTACATACTTATGCATAAGCGTATTGACGACGCTTTCGACCGGTTGACGATTAGCCCTCGCGGCTCTCTACGCCGCAAACATTGAAGGGTCTCAAGTCTCTCCCTCCTGGTGCGTTGCTCTCTCGCGACACTGGTGTCCAACTCCTCGCATCACGTTGAACATATTCCCACGCGTACCTTGCTCACTGCTTGCTTACATGATGGGTCTCTGCGTCTGGGTCTCCTGGCCAGATCCCTCCAAAGCCGGGCACGATGTCGTCTTCGTCCCACCATTTGTTTGGCGAATACTTGACGTCGTAGGCCATCAGCGGTGACGCTGCTGAGGTGCGTGCAGAACCAGCACCAGCTCGGGGACGGCACACTCCCCCGCCCACTGCCGGGGCAACCAGAAAGGCTCGAGATTGCACCGTCATCGACAACCATACGAGCGCTCCCGCTCTCGCCCTCGTGCCCCCCGACCCTGTTGCTACTGGTCGCCTTGGCTTTGTGCTCCGGCCCCCGCCTGCTCGGCTTGTCGCTGGCGGTGTCATGTGCTCCTCCCAGCGTGTGTTAGGGTTATGTGTGCAATAGGTAGTGTGCAATGTCGCGTGCTCGGTCTCTCAAGGCTCTTCCTCTTTAGCCCCTCTCCCCTCCCTTTTGGACAAAAAAACACGCGCGGGACGGGTTTTCAACCTTTGAATGCGGAGCCAGAGGCCAGTACACCAGGCCGGCACTCTCCCTCGCAAGGGCCTCTCGTTACCAACTAACAACACATAGCAGGCCGCGGTCGTACGCACTACTCGACGAGGTCGGGAAGCAGCTCGTTCCCCTACGGGCGGGATTGTGAGGTGAGCGAATGGACTCTCCATCTCCTGGGCTTCATCTCACCAAGTACTTCAGCCCAGCGCACTGCCTGGTCCGAAGAAGGGCCAAGCATGCGACACCGACACCGCCCATCTTCAACCCAGGAAGAGGCGTGTGCCGAAGGCATGGGCTCGTTGCGATGCTGTTAGTGGCCGACCGATCCAGAGTGGTGGATGCGTTTGGAGGGGTGGCGGTAGGAGTAGCCTCTGCGCTTCGAGCTGGGTCACCGCCTGGGTCGGAATGCACAGCAGCAGTCGGACTGGCGCCTCCGACGAGCAGCAGCAGCAGCAGCCGGGGCGGGGGGCAGGGTCGGAGGATGATGGTTCGACCACGCCCGACCACCTTGGCGCCGACGACTGATGCCGGAGAAGACCGAGCTCTTTCAAGGTGAGCAACACGGCTGTTCTTGGATTGCATGGTGGTGGTACAACTCGGATGTGCACATCTATCAGCTGTGCCTAGCTTTGTACTCGTCCGGCATACGCATACGTGGTTCGTCTGCATGATCGATAGCATTAGCATGTGCATCGTACCACTCGGAACACTACAGCAGTATGCAACAGCAGTGTTTGTCATTGAGCCTTCCGCAAATTGACCTGTCTGTGATCCATCTATCAAACCTAGCACATCCTCCACCCCACTCCTGCTGCCTACAGCCAGTGTATTGTTAGAGCCTCTGCACCTCTGCTCTCTGTCACTGCATCGCAGCAGTGAAGCACGCTGCTGCAGTAAGTTGTATCTGAGGATCGACTTTTGAGAGCTACAGCAGAGAGCAGCGATCTGTAGTTGGCAAACTCGAATACAATTGTAGTGGAACTGAACTACATGTACCGATTTATCGTGGCATCAGCATCTCTTTTTTCACTTCAACCCGATACGTATGAAGTGGCTTTTGCCACTACTTATAAGAGGACGGGGCCCTCACTGGTGGTATTTTCGGAATCTCACGCCCCCCATATTCGAAACTCGTAGCCGCACGCCTCCTGCGCACTGCGCACCCACACGCACCACAGCCAGTAGTCTATGTTTGGATTTTTGTGGTGGCGGCGACAGAGAGGGTGGTCGTGGCATGGAAGGTACATCTTGTTGTAACGAAGAAGGAAAGGGAAGAAAGAATGAAAAAAACAAGGATGGAACCGATGATGGAGAATGGAGAGCATGAGCGTTTCGCCGGAAGACTTGCCGCACAACTAAATAACGCCGCAGGAATAGACAGGAGTGGCCAAGGAATAGTCTTAGTGGTCATCCTGGCGAGAGTGGTGGTGAACGTTAGGAGGATAATAAAGCACTCCAAAACGAACACGCGTGCAACAGAGCAGCCTTGGTAACATGTGCAGCGTCTCTGCTGTTCTACCGTTTCTGTCTTCAATCCGGAGAGTAGCGTAGCCTCCCGAATGACGCTCCCTCACAGGGTCCCAGATCATAGCCTTGGGAAACACTTGCGTTTTCAACCGCACAAAGACAAACATATTTTTCATTGGTAAGCCGGTAAGGTCGATGATGTTGATCTATAAATTACACCATACACACAGAGTTGTGGGCGCCACACGTTATCTTCCAGCAACTGCTGTGTGTGAATTCCTGTACAACAGTAGGCGCAAAGAATTGTGAAAGCGGTTCGGTGGAGCGGATACGCCCTGGAGGGGGGGGCGTACTCGTATGTTTTGCATGCCTTGGGGGTTAGACCATTGACCACGCGTCCTGGAGAGGACGGAGCATTGTTCCCACAGGACCGATCACCAATGGCCAATCGTTCCTTCCTACTTTGCCAATGGTGGCTGAAGAATGGCTTCTGTACAATAGTCTCTCTATCATATTGGTATCACTTCCCGCCTTTTCAACCCACTTCCTATGTCCTACAGAAGTACAGCTACCGTCTTGTCCTGGCTATTCCGTGCCGTAAACATCTCCCTGTACCTTTCGTCTTGTACAACCGACATTCCGCAACTACATGAACACGGTCTTCGCACTCGGAGCCGCAATCACATTTGAACTTGTCGCCTTCATGGTCTACCTTCCTAAACCTTCGTCTACGTTCTCGAAGGCCAATGTCCCGGTCCTGAATTTGACCCCCAGCTTTGTCCCTGCATCCAGGTACTCCTTGGACCCCAGTCGTTCTTTCAACATTCCGTACACTTCTACGAGACGCTCGTTATCCTTGGTTTCTTTGGTTGGATGGTATTATTCTCTTTCGGCAAATGCAGCAGATATCTTCTCCTTGAACCCCTCTAGACCTTCCGTTTCCAACGTATCACCTTCGTCAATTTCGAACCCCTTCCATACGTCATCTACAACCTGGACGCCCTGGGGGGGGAATGTTCGGTGTTTTCTATTTACTTGCTTCCCCCTGTTCATTTCGCATACTACGCTGTTGTCAACGTTTTTCTTAGTGTTGCGTGTGTTGTTGAACCCATCCTACATGAGCCCCGCCGGAATTCGGGTGACTTTACTGCCGTGTGGTATGCATACGCTTATGAATAGTTGTTCTCAAGTTGTACATAAAATACATCGCTATCACTTTGGCGAGAAAATATTATTTCTCGCGTGGTGGCCCGAGATCGATGAGGCCTTGCAATGTGAGAATTCCGATGAATATCTGTCGGTATAGTGTGCATATCAAAACGTTTCCTCCTCAATAGTGGCAAAAGCACCACTATTGGGGCACTATTGGGGTGTCAATAGTGGTGGAATGCAACGATAACGGAATAGTGATGCTGCCCTCAATAGTGGCATGAGGGTCGTCTGCCCGTAGGCGCCCCTATTGTCGAGCTGCTTTCTGTACTGCTGTCTGCGTACATGTATTGTATCGCAACCCTTCTCTTCTCCGTCTCCGGACTACAGCAGCAGTTGCAATACAGCAGTACTTGCCATGGCAGCCCACAAGGGCCATACTTACCTCGGCCGGCAACCGGCGGTGCTGCTAGTATGCATGCATGCGAAAGTAACGGTCACAACACCTCGATTTTTTTTAAACGATTGGAGTCCACGATAACGCTTCATGTCACACACCCCGCCCCTCATTTAGTTTAACATCCAGGCGTTGGATGAAGGTTGCCTGTACATGATGACCCAATCGAGAACTATGGGAGAGATCGGTACTGTGAAGTCCCTCTCGAGTACGTAGGTATTACTGCTGTAGAATTTTTAGGCGTTGGTGAACTACAAGCATTACAAAGGTTGTCAAACATCGCACCAATACCCCAAATCCCATGCACTGGAACGCAACTACACTTGTCGTACACAAACCAAACATCAGTGCTCGAGTACGACCGCCTATGTACTGCTGTACTATTATAGGAGCACGGACTCGCCCACCCGGCCCCCATTGGGGCGGGCAGCCATATTGTAATGAGGCGGTTGCGAGGATGAAGCATGGTAATGCTGACAGCGGAATGTACGGCTGTGTGGAGAATTCTTGCGCGACGTCTTTGCGTCCGTTCGCTGACCCTGTCTGAATCCTCATGATCCATCCCACTCTCGTATTGCTGGTGCACTGCTGCCGCTGCCGCTGGCCCGGCATGCTTGCTGAACAATCCAGCAGTGAGAGCACGGGCGAGGACGGGGGGGCGTCAAGCAATACGGCCACGTTAGATAGAGTTGAAGCGCAGGCGGCGGCGGCCGGGGGGGGGCGGGGAGGGAGGGACGAGGCACGCCAGAATGGAAACCGAAAACGGCTCGGAGGTGAGAGCATTCGACACTTGGCGAAGTAGTACCCCATCGTATGATTGTTGTTGTTGTTGTTATTGGTGTCTTTACATAAATGTAGTTCCGATCTGGGCTCAGTACTGATCCCAACTGACGCGAAGGCCTTTCCGTGGTGACAGGCTACTGTGTTGTAACTTGCTGTAACCGCGCCCAAAAAGGGACGATAAAGTTACTTTATAAGAGATCGAATGCACGAGGCAGAAAACGACGCAGTACTGCACGCTGCGAGAGTGATTCATTCGCCTGTTCGATCACGGCGGTAGACCGAGAGAGCTGTGTGGTACAGTCCCGTGAGACGGGAAAAGACAACTACGAATCGAACCCGGAACTCCGACTCATTCAAGCCGTCTGGCTCCTCCGGCAGATCTGCTGCTCGGGGTTGCGGCTAGCGTGAGACCACACGCTGGTCTTGCGAGAGTAATGCGACCGCATTATTCGCACACCCCGATGTATCTTGACAAAGGCTCCTTGAACTATCGCCGTGGTTGTGTTTTTTCAGTTATTGGTCGTGCTGGCAGCGAGGATCGACGGTTTCAGAGGCGCACCTTGAGAACGCCGAGACCGAGCACCCGTGTTGCCAGCTTCCGGGAGCTCAATTCGCGCAAGGTAGATCGTTCGCTGGTGAAGCAGTCCGTGCTCCACTACCTCTCCGACCCGGAGGAACTGACGGTCATGCAGTTCACCAACCTCGGGATGGCTAGCAGCCGGCACTGCGACATACACCTCACTGTGGAAGTGATCGAGCAGGTGGGCGGGGAGGGAGGAGCGGCAGCGGCGGGGGGCACTGGGGATGATGAGGGAGGGGGTGCAAGAGGGGTTCTGGAAGCAGAGAGGCGTCTGCTCTCCTCTGCGAGGTTGCAGCTCTCAGAGCGTGTGGTCGGTTTCCACAACTGGAGATAGGGTATAGGGTATAGGGTATAGGGTACAGGGTATAGGGTATAGGGTAGTGAGCCAGAAGAGAGGCTGTCGGCGGTTTGTACACTCCGCTCCTGATTCCGTTTTTTTTCGCACAATTTCGAGGAAAGTTAGGTAAGAACAGCAGGGTATCCGTGTATCTCCAGTCGTTGACGAGGTATGACGCTCTTATGTGTCTCCGGACAAGGCTCGGGGGCACCGTGGATCACACATCACCCCCCCCGCGCGCTATTGCGACTAACGCGCTGCTGCTGCTGCTGCTGCTGCTGCTGCTGCTGCTGCTGCTGCTGCTGCTGCTGCTGCTGCTACTGCTGCAGGCCCGATTGGTGGGCCTTACGCCTGACGTCCGGTTCATGACCAACCTGGTGAACGCGGCGTCGCAAAGCCGGCGGTGGGTCATGGCGCTCCAGCTCTTGCAGCTCATGCGCTCCAACGGCACCCCGCCCAACGAAGTGACGTACACGAGTGTGCTGTCGAACATGTCCAAGGCAAAACAAGTGAGGGGCAAGAAAAATTCGGGTAGGGTTGCTCGGAGAATTCGGGAATGTGTCGCGGATCAGGGGCAATGGTTTCGCACCGGCGATTTTTTTTCTGCCGGTGGGGCAGTCGTACGTGCCTGCTGGGGAGGTTGTGCTGCCGTTGTGCTTGGTCGCTCTTGCTATGCATACAGTTTCCTAGTCTCGGGCCAGCAGACCTGACGTTTGCGATGGATGTGGGGGAAGGTTTGCTCCCTAAAATGAGGCTGGACAGCTCGTTTGGTTGCCGTCCTACGCGGTGTACTACTCTCATCCCCGCACACCGTTGGCTGGTTGTTGGCGCCCCCTTCCCAGACCCATCTGTCTATTAGTGGACCGTTGTTCTGTAAACCACGCCCAACCCCGTGCTGTGCATCACGGCGTCGAATGTTGGTGTTTTGGTTCTCTTGTTCAGCACCACATAGCTGCTGAGACTATGCGGACGGAGGGACTACAAAAAAGCCTCTTTGCGTACAACGCCCTCATCTCCGGCTGCGCGTCGGGCCGCGGGTACGAACGCGCGCTAGGGTACTTCGACGACATGGTGAGCCGACATGCCATCCGTTTGGCGTCCCGTTAGGGAGAGGCAGGCCAGGTGGAGCTCTGCCTTATCCTGCTTCCGCCCGTCTTGTGTGAAGGAACTGGACCGTATCGGGCAAGCCGAGACCGAATTCGGCTGGATGGTTGAACGAAAATTGCAGGCTTTGTCGCAGGCTGCGATGTGACCCTAGTGTTGTGTTCTTTGCAGCGTTTACGTTTTTGCTCGGGTCTCGTGAATGCCTCGAATTGAATGGGTTATCACCGGTATTCTTGCACGAAAGTTGGACTCCTGTATCCATCGCATGAATATTTTGTGCATCTGGAAGCACGCTTTTTGATTCGTCCATTCCTGCACACCGGGGGATGCTTGGTGCTTGTTTTTGTTTTTATGCATCAGTGTTACCAGCAGTGTTGTAGTGGGGGCGCTACTAGATGGCATGTCGGGAAGCACCACATGACGCGGTCGCAACAGGTGTCGATTGTTTCAGAGGTATGCACCCACATGCACGTCCGATATCTCTATGTACCGCAGCAGCACCAGACAAACAGACAAACCCCCTATGTGCCCCCGGCCGGATGCATGCGCATGCCTCCGTTGCTTGTTTCGATTTGTTCGACTGCTGTAACCTTCTGGACACACATGGCCGCCGATTCGATGATGCGATCGATGTTTTCCTCTCTTGTGTGTCCCCCGCTGCAGAGGAAGGCGGGTGTGGAGCCGGACGAGATGACGTTCGCGAGCATCATCGCTACCATTAGGGACGGCTCTGAAGGAAGCCCCGAGCGAGCTATCGAGGTGAGCTACGCTCCATGCCCCCCCACCCCGCGTCTACAGAGTCACAGGGTTCGGGATAGTCCTATGGCGGTGACGGCATTGCAGCGTACAGTCCATATTTCAAGATAGCGGCTCTTCCTCGGCAAGAGAGCAACCGACACTTGTGATTTCGATGTTTGGGGCGGGTGGTTGTTGGGGCCTATCGATCGATCGCGGCGATGATCTACAGCAGGGCAGGAATGAGGGGGGCATCTTCCCTCTCTCTCCGATCAACTAGGCTGGTCACTTTGTCGCCTTGTCATTTAGTGGCCGGCTGCGGTATCATTAATAGTTCACTACATACGTACAGAGCAGACGGCCCGCCGAGCCGAATTCCGGAAGCACAGCTTCCCCTCAACATTAAGTTCGACCTCTTGTCGGACTATGATTTTTACATTTTTATATAGGAATTAGTATAGGGGACCTCGTTGGGGATGACAAAAAAGAAACTCCAACTGGCATCCCTGATAACTCAGTGTAAGGCTTACACAAACTCAAAATAAGCCAAGTCTCCAGTCGGTTTCAGTCCACTTACCTAAAAGACTTCACCACATCCCTTTGGACTGAGGTTATACCTCGAACGGGTAGTCTTTCTGTGAGGTTATGTTTACTTTCTGAAACTAATGTTTACTTTCTAAAAATTACAGTGGTGCGCTTGCGAACGCGGGGCACGGTACGAGCACCTCGCCCGCTCGTCTGACATGCGGCGTTGTTGATTCTGCCGCATCACCCACTTGCGCCCGTTTACGACGTGCGTTAAAGAACTGAAGGGCAGAGCGCGTGACGAAATTCCCTCGCAGTTAGCAGTTAGTTGTTCTGTCTTGTCCAGCTGACCTTGACTGACTCTTCATGTGTTTGTTTTGTCTGTGCAGGCTGTCCAGATGATGAAGGAGGCCGGGCTGCGACCGGACACGTACTGCATGAACTCTGTCATGGCGGTCAATGTGCAAGCTAGGCAGCCCAACGCCGCTCTGAAAATTTTTGAGGAGATGAAGAGGGACGATATCCCGAGGGACGTGGTAAGAGAGAGAGTGAGAGAGAGCAATCTTCACGCTGACGCTGCTGCGACTGCGGCCGCAGTAGTCCATTTTATTTTAATTTTTCGGCCTTCCCTGAGAGTGATCTCTTTCTCTTGAAGTTTTGTTCCGCATGGTGTCGAAATACCCCTATTCTCACACTCAATTGTTGTTCAGCGTGCCTTTTTGTTTTTTGTGGTTCTTTGTGTGCTGTGCACTTCGTATGTATCAGCGTCAACTCGAGCATCGTATTATATGCATGTTAGTCATAGTCACGTCTCATAGCCACGTCTCGCAGTTTCTGCCCGCGCGGTTTACTGTCTCCTACCGCAGGACCTAAGAGTACCGATCCGTGCCCACCCGTGTTGAATCATCTCCGGTGCATATGTCGATGTGTTTAAATCGTGAATGCTAAGGCTTCACTAGGCTAAAGATTCACTAGTTTCTTCCCCTCAAGGGTGCTCACGAACAAGTACCTGTTTGAGTCCTGTGCAGAGTAAAGACGCCTCGCCGAACCTCGAACTCCCAAAGTAGCACTGTAGCCGTAATGTTTTCGAGGTTGTCGGCTGAACCACCAAGGCGACCGTCTTGTAGTATAGTATAGCGCACCTGAAAAGGCAATCCACACGACCTCCCCTCGGCGTTTTTTAGCATACCCCTGTAACATCATCACTGTCGTTGCGGTGCCCCCCAAAGCATGGAAGTCACGACCACCTTCCCGTTGTAGTACTCTAGCCCACCTATGTACCTCCTGTCTCCGTTCCGGTGATTTGATATTATGCTGTGTTCCGCTCTAGGTGTCGTACAACACGGCCATCTCCGCCTGCGATAAGCTGCAAGATGCCGAGACGGCCGTGCGGCTGCTACGGCAGGCGAGAGAAGACGACGTCGAGCCTGACGTGTTCTCGTACAACACCGCCATCAGTGCGCTTGGCCACAGCTGCCAATGGCAGGTCGGTGGGGTGAAACACGCTACGGGAAAATGCACCAGTAGCCTTTTTCATGATTTTTCGTTGAAGAAAACGTGTTGGATAAAGCATGCAATCGAGGAAGGAAAGTTGGGTTAGGGTTAGGGATAGGGAATAGGGTCTGCGTACCCCCTCCCTGTTCTATTTCCACGTAACCTTACTATTTCTCGTGAAGGTGATCCAAATGCCTCCTATTCCTTGCGGGGTTCTATCTTGCATCTGTGCTAGGTGCTCGTTGTTGGTTTGGCATGAATCAATAAGCTACTTGCGCGACCCAGTTATTTCCGCCTACGTGGACTGTTAGAGACGGTTCCCGTCACCGAAGATTTGGTACAGAAATGAATCATGAGCGATGCGAATCATGAGCGATGCAGTAGCGGACCGCACAATCGTGGACCGGTAGGCCTTACGTGCTCGAGGAACGCATTGTAAGCCAGGATTTTACCTTCTCCTCTCGATCATAGCCTTGGCTCAGATTGAGATCAACTGAGACGCCATCCACGTTGGTGGTAGCTGGCGACGCGATGCGATGCGATGCGATGCGACCATTACGTCTTCCGTGGTCGCACCCACCCACCCCGGTCATGACGGACTGCTGCACAGGTTCGCTCGCTTGCCACGCTCATGAAGTTCATGTTACCTTACTTGCTGCTTCTGGTGCTTGGGTGTAACATGCTTGGTTCCGTACGGCTGTGCTGTGCCGCCGCGTTGCGTGTACCCGTCGTGAATCCTCAGGAGGCCGCTCGAATTTTCGAGGAGATGAACGAGGCAGGTGTGGCACCGTCGCTCATGACATACAACACCCTCATTTCAGGCTGTGTCCGTGCGCAAGCCCCTAGCGAGGCCCTATCGGTGTTTTACCTCATGAAAGAGAGGGGCATCAAGCGAGATCAGGTGACATTTTTTTTCTTCTTGTCTGGTTTTTGGTCGGGCGGGGAGGAAAGGCTTGGTTTTCTGGCGCGCGTGTCATGTCTTTCCCAGACAAAGTGCGCTGGGCGAAGGGGTAATCGACTACAACCGAATGCTAGTAAAGACTTTCTACAAGACTATCAATGGCCGATCATGCAGCTTGAAGGAAGGACCGACAATAAGACACCCATGAAGTTTGGGTCGAAAAGGCAAACGTTGTCGGTTTTGCCGATACCGCGAGTTGGCCAATCGTTGGGCAGACGTATTGCTATACCCGTGTCTCACGAGACGCTTTGTCCGTTGAAAGTGCACACGAGGAGTTGCAGCTTAAGTCACTTCTGCAAACTTTGACGATTAGAAACTATCGAGTGACGTGCTTAGTTGATGTTACGTCCAGGAAACGTGGGTACCTTCGGCGACGGCGATAGTCGTAGAAGGAAAAACATCCGTCGCGTCGGTGGCCCTGGGTCAGACGAGGACGCCGTCTCCCGAGGTATCGGGAGCCGAGTAGGCAACACTACGCGCGGGCGAGTACCGAACGGGAGCTTTTGCCTACGATACACGGACGGAGATCTTGAAACCAACGTTCCCGTCTGCCGGGGACAATGATTTACCAAGATCTCGAGCGGTGTATCGTGGGCACCACCTGCCGTCCTGTACTCGCCCACGCGTAGCGCTGGCCACTCGGCTCCCGTTACCTCTGGGGACGGCGTGTACTCGGGGCCGG